GGATCACAAGTCCACTTCTTGTACAGCCATTAACCACTAAGAAGAATATATGCAGTGTATTATTTGTTGATACTGTACTTCTGATTGGATTTGAAACTGTCTCATTGCTATCTGTTTATCAATAAAACTTTGAATAAAAAAAAAGAACTACTAAGTGGCTCACATTATCACTTTACAAAGTAATGGAAGAATTCTCAGATATGTACACCCAATGTATAAAGATTCTTCAGTGATGTGGTAATGTCCTAGTATTACTGTATTTATCAATAAAAGAAAAATTACTCATTTCAAATACTTTTTTGCAGCAAAACCCCAGTGTCCTATTTAAATTTAATGTAAAACATAAAATTATGAAAAATATGTAGGTGAAATTCAAACACTATATCTCTCATGATAATGGTCTTTTAAATTTGAAGAGAATTTTGTTCTTCATCTGTCAAAACTAGCATTTATATTTGAAATTTTAATACTTTATGAAGTTTTCTTTATATCACACTGTGGAATCTTCTAATATTATGGATAAATCGGTATGATCTGGATTTCTAGGGCTGTATGGCATTCTTCATCTGACTTCAGTAGGTATCTAATGTCTCTTTCCCTTTCATACAGTTTGAGGCTACAAACTCTCCTGATGATTACTATTCTAAATCCTAGCCCAGAATCTCCTGTGATCCCTCATTACTACTCTGTGAAGCTCCTTTGATACTAAGTTAGGCAACTTTGGAACTTTCTCACACAGTATAGAAGATTATGGACATTTTAAAGTAACATTTACTTTTAGTTTTGGTGATCAGCTTTGATAATTAATGTCATAGCTAATATCCACTGTTAGCAGTATTTTAAATATTTTCTTCTACTCTGTAATTTTGCTCTCACCAGTGCAGAGACTTAGAGCCATTAAGAGCCCACTCTGACCTGTGGACAGATAATTGAATGTAGCTCACATGAGAATTAAGGAAGTGACTCATCACTAAATTCATCATAGTTCGTAGTAAACAGTAGACATCTGATAGCTACTATTCATTTTTAAAGATATATATCCTTATACTTTGCATAGGAATCTGAAATTATTTAGTGAAACATATTCTTATAAAACAGATAAACTTAGCCAACAAGTGAATATGTCATAGATAAGGATCAGATGCCATGTCCATAGGAAAACTAAGAGAAACAGTTCTGAATGTTTTTCTGACAGAGATATGAATGTGGGAGGAGATAGAATGTTCACTTTGATTTAAATATTCACAACATAGCAAATGTCACAGCATCACATGTGATTCCATGAAGATGTGAAATCTTTATGTCATTTCTAAAATGGCAGGTGATATGGATAGCTCAGAGCAGACCATGTAGCCAGATCTTCAACTAGCTGTGAAGTGGGGCTTCTGTCCCTAGGTTCTCTGTCAGCACTGTGATGCTTCCCTGAATGGGGCAGCTGTGCTGAGCTCTGATGAAGTTTAGGGCTGAGAAGGATACATAAACCTCCTCTGGCCTCAGAAATGAACTGGGGTAGCTCAGAAAGACCCACGAGGTGATTCTGAGATCATCCAGCACCATCCGTCTATAGGAGAAGCCAAGCATCAGAACATTGTACAAATAGAGAGAGCAGTGTCACCTGTCCTACTATGCACAAGGCTGATCATTTCACCAGCTTTGAGATGAATGGGGAAGGAGATGGTCCTCAGAGTAACCTATTTCAATGAGAGAAGCAAATGAGGTGGAAGGGAAGCACAGAGCTCCTAGGGCTAGGCAGCTTGGGTTCAGAGTCCAGCCCTGTTGCTTACTGGCTGTCATGGCTATCACAGTTATCTATCCCTTGCTGCCTCAGCATCCCCTTCTCACAAGAACCTCATTTACCCGTTCTGAAGAGAGCAGACACATGTCAGTGATACACATTCACAAAGGCGGCAGATTGCCCACTTTGTTTACAAAATGGGAACAACTACAATGATGGCCACAGTTGGTCACACTTTTAGATGAAGATGAAAGACTAATGACTTAGTGATAAGTCAGTGACCTGACATGTATATGTGGAAAAAACAGATACATTCCAAGCCCTCAAGGAAAGTCTCATCTACTCTGAAATGGGGGAGGATGTCTCTAGTTTGGGACCAATCAAGATTTGTTTCTGTGGCATTTTCCCAGTTTCAGACAGACTTGGATTTAAATTAAGACTATTAAACTGTAGTCCCTGACACTACCCATCTGTGTACTGTGGATAATTATACCTATCGGTAAAGGTCCTTAGAAGATCTTGGGTTGCCTGGTAAAGCAGAATCTCAGTTCCTGCCCATCAGACTCATCCTCCTGGCACATAAATAACTACCTAATGTGTCATTGTTGCTTTTTGCACATGAATGAGCAAGCATTTCCATGGTGGAATGAAGCACATGTCAATACTACAGAGGACTTTCTTGTTCCAACCACAGTTATTTATCCCACCCACTAACTCCAGGACAGAGGGTATGCTGACATCATTTTCCAGAAACAAATTAAGGCATAGAGAGGTTAAGCATCTGAGGTCACCCAGAGACTAACTTCCAGATCTGAGATTGAAATCTAGGCTCTCTAGTCCTGAGTCCATGTGCTTAACACCTTGTCCATCTGCTGGAGGCTGGTGGTGTGTTGGAGCTGGTGTCACTGTGAACACTACTGCAGAGCTGAGCTCAAAGGACAAGTGGCACACTGGACAATTCCCCATGTGCACTGACTTCTTCCAACTAAATGAACCTGAGCCTGGAATTTGAGGCCTTGATGAGAACAATGATGTGGGCCTCTTTATTTGTCAAGGGGCTATCCTAGAATCAGTACTCCAAGGAAAGAGACATAAATCACCTTTCCAGGGACAGCATTAGAAAGGTCATGTTGATCCCTTGGCTTCCATCAGCTCTGAGGGTCAGGCCTTATGTGTCATGCTCCTCTCGTCTTATTGTCAATTCAGTATCATCACACTGAAGAATCCACAGCTCAAGGAACTGTTTTGATAGTTTTTATTTACTCTGCCTACCACTCAAAACAAAGCATGGAATTCAATAGCCGAGAAGGCTGTGTCATGGGGTAGAGGGAGACATGTGGAGGTGACCTGGTTCAAGGGTACTTGGCTCCTGATTGGAAGTGGAGAGTTGTGCACCTGAAAGTTGGGAGGACCTGGGCCAGCTGCAGGCATTATGGGAACTGAGGACAAATGGGATTGGGGTAGCTGTGGACTAAACCTTGCTACAACACAGTGAAGTTGGGAAAGCCTTATACGACAATGGTAGAATAATACGCACGCGGCCTTTAGGAGCTGGGGCTAGCAAAGTGTTATTATCTTTAGAGAGACAGGAAGCAGTGGAGACTCCATGGCCCTGCATGCTTCCTCTGTCAGGTACTCTTCCTGTCCCTGTAAACAGCTGATGGTCTGCACAGACAAAAGGTGATGAAGGTTCCATGGAGGGCGCTCTTGAGCAGCAGCAGGAGGTAGGTGTAGTAGGCAGAAGTGTTGGTGAGCTGCAGGCTCAGCAAACCTAAAAGAGGTCAGGTGATGAGTTTCAGCTGCATGTGCGACAGCATGGGGAACACCATGGGGAGGTGTCCCAGGTTTCTGATGACCTTCACAGAAGTGATGCCACTGACACACCCAAAGGTCAACATGCTCCACTCCCACCAGGATCACTGAGGGAAAGAACTGGTTTGTACTTCAAACTCATAACAACTGGGGATAAATTTATTTAGAACTCTATTAATAGCAATTTTTTATAGTTTCCATAATGGATTTCAGTAAGGGCAAAAGAATGTGTGATAACTAAGTTGTAACTTTTATTCATTTCAACCACATCATTAAGTAATAATCAGAGATAGTGTAATTAACTATTAGCTAAATGACAAATGGTATTGACAGCTTTACATATACAGTTTTAATCTTAATTCTTGTAACAATCTATAAAACAAAAGGGGGTTATTTCTCCTGTGGTCTCCTATGAAAACCAGTTGCTTATTATACCAATATCTAGGAGATTGTGGATTAAAAGCCTATTCTGAAACATGCAGGCATTCAGATTGATTTCTTTTAAGCCAGGAGAGGTCAAAGTTAAGACAATCAGGAAGCAAGACATGGCCTCACATGACATACATCTTACCATTTGCAATTTTCAAGCAAGCTTCTAGGTCTGAAGTAACTAGAAAAAATAAGAGCAGATATTCAATTGTAATTATTGCTTTTTATTAGAATGCATGTGTATCTAAACATATCCATATGTACATAATCTATTGATAGACAAGTACAATCATTAAAAACACAATCCTCACAAACCTCGCTGCATGAATTTCTGTAGCTATCACCTTGTATTATAAAGATGCTAAGTTCATAAAGGGCAATTTAGCTTTGTTGAAACTGAAATGTAATGTTCAAATCTATGTAGTTTTCCTCTGTATTAGTAACTCCTCCCTGTACATGGAGCAAAGTAAGCAGTCCACAAATGCATTTTTCATGGAAAAATAAACAGAAATTGGCTGGTCTCCAAGCATCCAGCAAAAATCTGTCCTATTCTAGCATGGGCAACTGAATCACACACACACATAAGATTTTAATCTGGAGAAAATAATCATCTCAGCAGAGGAAAGCAGCCAGCCCTTGCAAATCACACATCAGTGTTGTCCAAACTCGTGTACATGATTTGTTAATGGTCTGGAAGCTTTGCACAGGATGATGTCAACATTAATGGAACCTGATGCATATTCAGTGATCATGGCTGCGCCACACATTGTGCTGAGTGCTGTACCAGTGTTATTTTGTTTAATTTCCTAATAAAGCATAAATAAGCTATGTTCTTGTCCACCCTATATTATGCATGGAGAAATAAAGTTTGGTGAGTGTAGATCCTTTGCTGAGAGCCATAACAGTGAACAGCACAGCCTACATTTAAGAGATGTTGTGGGGGATTAAAGGACATAGGGCATATACAGAGTGCACAGTAAAAATGATCTACAGAAATATATAGATAATACTCATAGAGAAACAACAGAAAATCACTAGTGTGGACACTGAATTAGCTTCTCTATTAGCATCTTAATTACTCTTAGCCAATAGGCCTTTTGAATATAGGAGTTCAGCATTTTAGTAAATTTTTTTCACAGATGGAAAGATAGGTCAGATTACCTTCTACTTCTCTGAATAAATATTAAGATGAGAATTTTATTTATTTGTAATTAAAAAGAAAAAATGTAAATATCCTTACAAAGATGAAAATCTTTCTAAAATGGGTAGAGAATCAGTGTCATGATGGTTGTTTTGGTTTATCCCTCTTCTGCTAGAAGTGTTCTTATCTTTATGCACAAGATTCTGGTCTCTGCATTCACATATCCATGGTGCTGTTTCATTGTTCGTGTGTTAAACAATGCACTGGAAACATAGTTTCTTTGGGAAAGTCTCAAAAATCAAAATGCGAGCATGCTCAGGTCTGAATACCACAGTAGCTACATCAGTTGACCTTAGTAGTTTACACATGTCTCTTTTTATCTCGTGATGTTATATAATAAATGATAAATGAAAACCCTTACCACCAGACATTGGTGAAAGTCCAAAGAATACTAAGTTCTCTGTCTCTATTAAGATGGACCACAACCTTGGAGTAGACTATTTTTAATTTCTTTCACTATCACTTCATTACTTTTTCTTTTGAAAGGATTTCTTTTAGCTTTTACAAAGAATTAAAAAGCAGGGTTAGAAGTATGCTGTCGGAGGACATTCACAGAAGCTTTCTTGACTTTGTTGTCCTGAGTCTGCCTCACAAGACACATTAGCTAAAATCCAGAGTCAAGTAAAATCTCATAAAATTGGAACTTCACTCCAGGACAGTAATTGTCATAGGAATTACTACACATTTTTTCTTTCCCCGATCACAAAAAATTGCCTAAGAATGATGGGGTTCTTAGGCACAGGGTTTGTGTTAGCCTTGCGCTTCACATACTTCCCTCCTCAGGTTGTGAGTAATAGAAATAGAAAATAGGGACTCTTCTGGTATCTTACTGTGAGAAATTGGGAAAAGAGTATCCACTCTTCCCTGCCGCGCATCCACTGTGGGCTGCTCACTAGACCCTCCCAGACTCCCCTCCCACATTCCCACTCAGGGCCGGCATAGGCTAATGGTACAGGAGGTGTCTGTGCTTCTGGCATTTTCCTAGAGGAGGAAACACGTCCATAATAGAGAGGGAAATAGGTTTGTATGCGTTAGCCTCACCCACCCTTAAATTATGGAATTTTACCAATTGTGACGCATAAGTAAGAATCAGAAAAACACAAGGCAGCTAAAGATACC